CATATAAAATTTATATTAATATAATTAATTGTAATATAATTTATATAATTTATTATAACTTCAACTTGATTATTATTATTATTTTTTTTATTTTTTATTTAATTTTTTTACAGTGAACACCATTTTTATACAAAACTACAAACTAGTATAGTTATTATAGTTAAAAAAATAATAGCCTATAATTTCTTCGATTTTACACAGCTTTTGAATGCTGTTTTCACAGATCAGACTGTATAATGCAGCGCAGAGGCAGCATGATATACACTGGAATTACAATTGCGCAGATAAATAATGTTATGAAATTAATGCTTTAAATATTTTTTATTTATTTACTAATTTATTTTTTGACTGTAAAAGTTGTAGCCTTCTTTTAAATATATGAAATTTAAATTGCCAGTAGGTGGTGACAAAACGAGTCAATGTACCATTCATTCAACAGATTCATTCAAAATAGCTAATTCATTCAGGAGCGAGGCAAATGACTGAGCATCCCGTATTGTAAACAGCAACAGAGCTGTGTTTAAGTTTAAACAACTAACGATTAATTCCTATCATATTTCCGTTAATGCTTTTTGTTCCACGCTAAAAACATTTGTAGCTAGACTAAATCATTCAGGGCTCAAACCGGAAACCATGTTTAAGTATATAAATACCGTTTGTTTTACTGACTAAGAAACCACTTAAGATGGTTCAATGGGAATGGTTTGACCAATTCAATGAAAAGAAAGAGCTGACGCAAAATTATAGAGACACACATAATAACTGCTGAAGTATTTGCAGGGAAAACTTATGCACGTATGGTACGCACAGCATACAGCTGTACAGCTGCAGGTACCACTGTCGCCATGTGTTTGGGTCCGGAGAAGAATATTGCTTGATTGCAAATCAAACAAACGAGCAGCAGTTTCGCTCTGGCTCAGCGATGGGATGCTGTTTTTGAAAATGTAATATTCACTTAGAGGATCCACTAAACACTTTCATTCAGTATGGAACCCAATTATTTCATATTTTAAAAAGCACGCAACTCTCCCCACAAAGTAAAATTATAAGTGGAATCAGAAGACCTATGTAGATGGGCATGGATATTACGTTAGAGAGAATGCGCTAACAATAGTGATAATTATTTCCTCAGTGTCTATACTAGCCCTGCTGAAAAAAAAACAGCAGGTGTTGAACAGTCATATAAACTGGATATGACGAGTGTCATGAAATATGATAAAGTTTGAGGCACGCAGCTCTGAAAGATTTCATTTTTATTTGTATATATATTATTTTTATTGACATGCTCAAATAAGCAGGTTCAAACTCACCCAAAACATAAACAATGTTACAAGAATGGATACTTGATAACAGAGAATACTATTGGTTTATATTTCGATTAAATAAGATGAACTTATTAAAATAAATTAAAGGGAAAACAAGTAGTAGTAAATTTCAAAATAATTATTCTTTTTAACTGTAAATCATTGTGCTCTCTTGAACCGCAAATATAAATAAAGATTAAAAGGAAGAAGTAGATGCAAGATCACAAAGCAGCTTTCAGTTAGAGTCCTGATTCTGTCACCATCTATTCATTATAAAGCACTGTTAGTGGCATGTTACTAATTAATTAAATTTCTAAAGCAAATTATATCATAACATATTTATGGAATTTGCCAGTGTGGCTCTGCTGTGTTGCAGTTTGCTGTCAATAGGTAGAGTGGGCGAGAGTTTGCTACTCTGAAATGCAGCAAAAGTGTAGGCACACAACAGAGCATCTCAACATCAGCTGCCCGTCACTGGATTAATGGCTATGTGGGAGTCAAGGCCCTTGTTATTAAATATGTATTTATTACCTTCACTGCGTGTGGTAAAATTACACAGCAAGCCTCTATTTTTTATTTTAGAATAGACAGTCTGTAGAAGTGGCGTTCCAGCGTAGGGCGCAGGATTGGGCTTAGGAGAGCTGATACCGATCAGTTAAAAAAATGCTTGATTGGCCCCGATCCCAATCCTTGAGATCTGCTCTAGAGCTACATAGTAATTTGCATAGTTTTGGTCAAACATCATCTGAAGTGTGTGTGTGTGTGTGTGTGTGTCAGATGGCCTCCTCCTCCATTTACCTCAGGACCTTGCTAATGAATTTGACCTTAACATTACAGTAGCAATTCAAGAGGATTGCTTCATTAAAAATGTAATTATGGAAATTGGTGGGGACTTGTCAGCGGACTGACTGATTTGTGAGATCTGAAAGATTTGTGAGATATTGAACAATGTGTCTCTAATTAGTCTCTTACTGTTTTTCAACACAAGACAGACACAGATGTAGTATTATTGTAGTAGTAATATTATAGTAATAGTAATATTGTACAGATGTAAAAGACAGACAAAAGAGGTACTAACTCAACGCAGCTACTAAATGAATGCATCATCTTATGGGAAGATAAAACTGTTTCTCTTCACAGACTAATAATGTGAAGAACCTTATTCCACATTAAAGAATTAAATGAAAGATGGCGTTAAACTTCAAATATGAAGCACTGATCTTCTGGCGCACCCAGTGATCTGGGACATGTAGATGAGGCCCTGAGGTGGGTCCAAAAGGTCCTTAAGAATCTGGAACATGCTGATGAAAGTACCTTGAAGTGAAGGTTTGCTCACTGGCGCTTGACTTTGTTGCAGATGTGTCTGTATGGTCTTCTCCTCTAAGGGCCAGAGGCTTGAGAACCTGGTCAATCTGCATATGTTTCTCTGTGATTCAGAGTCAAGACATGCTGTACAGTGTGTGTTGTTGCTTCATAAGCTGAAAGCACAGAACGTTTTGTGTCTGTTAATGTCTTTTCTCACTGGACAGAGACTCGGAGCACAGAGTGTCTTTATTACTTTACAATAAGAAGGAGATGAAGAGAGTTTGGTTAAAATGGTGACTTATAATTTGTATCTATTACACACTTCTCAGAATACTTTGGCAATGTACTGAATTCACATGTACAGAGTCCAAACATGATGGAAGAGTACTAAACTATCATGCGCGCATTAATTTATATGTTAACAGCTGAATATGTGTACAAATATTTCTCTAAGTATGAAGTGGATTTATTGTAGTCGTATGTCCACTTTGTGTAAAAAAAGCGTGTGGAGGTCCATTACAAGATGGGGAACATACCAGCATCGTAAGGCACATAGCACTTCCACATTTCATTAAGCAGCTCAACCATTTCCAATACATAATACAAATAATAAGAAATGTTTCTTGAGCATCAAATCAGCATATCAGAATGATTTCTGAAAGATCATGTGACACTGAAGACTGGAGTAACAGAAGTTTGCTATCACAGGAAATAAATACATTTTAATGTTTTTAAATAGAAAACAGTTCTTTTAAATTGTAGTAATATTTCACAGTCACAAAATTGTTTTCTTACCGATCTCATCTTATAATAATCAATATTGTTTCAATCTTACCGACCCCAAAATTTTAACAGTGGTGTAAACTAGGCCTTTATTTTTATTTTTAATATATTTCACTATATAATAATTATTATTACTACTACTATTAGAGAGAGAGGGAGTGTGTGTGTGTGTGTGTGTGTGTGTACAGTATATATATATATATATATACACACATATATATGTATATATTTTTTAAAGCATGCCATTTCCTAAAAGCAATCTTTAATTAATGAATATAATTTATTATTTTAAATTAATATTTTAGAAATTTAAACGTAAAAAACAACAACATTTGTACATAATTGCTTATCATAAATTGAATCAAATCAGCAAAAAGGATACATTTTTTTTCCCCAACAGATATTTTTTTAATTATATTATTAATATTGTCGGCACCGATGATCCTCGTGGGCAGCGTGCCTACATGTAGCGTCACTGCGCTTCGGCGTCCCGAGTTCGAGTCCCGGCTCGCGACCTTTCCCGATCCCACCCCCCTCTCTCTCACCCACTTCGCTTCCTGTTGACCTACTGTCCTATCTAAATAAAAGGCATAAAACGCCAAAAATAAATCTTAAAAAAAAAGAAAAAGTGCATTATTGTGAAATATGTCTTGGTGAGATTCACACAAACATAATCTGTTATGTCTTACATGAACGTTTAGTTAATGGTTGGGGAAAAATCGTATGTGTAACATTATATTTGATCCATGCATTACAGTACGTCTTAATATTGATCTGTCTCAATGTTAATCATATACATTAAAAGAAAAGACGGAAACAATCACTGCTCTTCATTAAACTACTATTTATTTACATCTTTGTTCTTATTTTTAATAACAGATAAAATAAAAAATAGATATATTGTGATTAATAATATAGTAATTGTTATCAAGAAAAGAATTGGAGGAATCTTCAGAAAACTTTAACTCGATTTTCTCAAAATCGTCATTTTTTTTGTCCGAATTCCAACAAGTCATATATCATTTTGAAGGTATTTTAATGGAGAATGTGAAAATAAAAATAACTCATTTTTTAAAATTTGCTCATTCAGACTCATTTTGCCAGCACAGGTCACATGTTCTGTTACATTATGTCTGAATGCTAGAAACTATAAGTTGTTTTAATGGGAAGTGAAACGGAAAGTGTAGCTACACTTAGAATTTACACTCTGTCTACAATGGACGTGAATGACGCAACACATTACATCAAAAGCACATAAAACCCAATTGAATCAGTGAATCTGTCTACACTGGATGCGCCAAGTTGGCAACAGCAAGCGGATGCCTCTTTCTATTTCTGACAACTGGAGAAATAAGGATAACTGTGCCATGTCTCTAAATCCCTTTATGTATCCCTACTCAAATTGGTCTCTCTAATGTGCCAAACTTGTGGGAGGTCTGGTCCATTGAGTAAAGCACTAATTATTAGTTATTAGGTAAAGCCTAAAAACAGAAAGGTTGCTGGTTTGAGTCGTACATGGGATGATGCATGATCCATTGCTTTTATGCAATCAGTGTGATTTCCCTTGGGTGCTGGGTATCGTAATTTCCACTTGCAGTTCTATTTACTCTTGTGTCTGTCATTTACACCTGAAAGAACTGTAGAGATGTCATTGGGAAAGACATTGTGCAAGAGAATTGGGGACCATTATTGGTCTTATGTCACCTTTTAAGTGGGATCTCTTGCTCTCTTTCAGTTTGAAGAGGTCTGAAGTCTAGCTCCTCTTCTGCTGTCATGAATATTTTAAGGGCTTCAATGTGGAAAATAGTTTTGTTTCCCCCGAGAACATTATTTCCCAGCAACCTTTGATTGTTCGCTGCAGCCAGTCCTCAGAACTGGAGCCTGACACCTTAGTAACAACATGTGCCAATTATTCTTGGATGGAGCTTTGTTCCAGGGAGTTCTTTTGTTGTTGTTGGTGGGGGTGATGGTGGTTTTTCTTCTTCTTTTTTTTTTTTTGTGCGAGAACATCCCTGTGGTACAAGACCCATTGTTAAACCACCATATTCTGACACTTTACATCCTAAAAAGGCAGAAAATATTACATTTTAAGAGTTATGGACTTCTTTTCCTTGTATCACAATGGCATATTAAATTGTAATTTTCACATTTTTGAAAATTTTATTATTTGCATTTAGCAATGTTTTGTTAATTAAGATGACTGTTAAACTGATGGATTTTTATTTTTTTTTAACAGGGATTCTTTGTGTCGGTATTTTACTGCTTTCTTAATGGGGAGGTGAGTCAATGATGCTTTTAATTTCATAGTTGGACGGAACTGGAAGATGACTATGAATATACAAGCCCTTTCCACAGCCATATCACCCCTTCACCTTATCTGTTTTCTGCCACCCAAGTCTGTTATTATGTGGGAGGCTATTTACACTGGCTCGCTGCACACAAACACTAGGAAGAACAGATCAATCTATCAGCACCCTGCAAACTGCTCTCTTTTAATATGGCCGTTTTTATTACTTATAGGATGCCTCTTCAGTCATCTATAACGATATCTTCTTAATATCAGTATCACTTGACACATCTGTCATTTTCTCCAGAGATTTTCCTCTTCTATGTCAAAACAGAAACAGTCAAACTGATATTATTTGTGTGTGTGTTTATAGATATAAGCTGGCTCACATATAGAATGTGTGCACGTTATTAAAATTTCTGCATTGTGGGAGAAAATTTGTGGAATTTAAAAATATTTTAAATGAAGTGGAATTACTTTTTTTGGTAGCTTATAGCATTATCAAGTTAGCTAAAATATTTAGTAATTGAGCATGCAGGTGGTTACATATGCATCAGTAGCTGATGCTGTGGGAATGTGATAGTCTGAAGCCTGTATAGAATAATGACAATTGATTGGCTGATGATGCTTAAGGTATGTGTCACCAGGACATGTTTGTGTCATCACTCCTCAGATTTCTTCACTGAGGCAACCATCAGCCCCGTATCATTTCATGTTATAACTAGGTTTTATGTTTTACGTAGTGTCTTTAAAACCCCTCTTTTGTGCAGAACTACTTCCTTCCGCCACGGATTCATATCTAAGTTTGACAGTTTAACAGCTGAGCCCAAGCCTCCGTTACTACCGTATTGGCCCGAATATAAGACGACCCTGATTATAAGACGACCCCCCTTTTTCCAGATGTACCTTTTGGAAAAAGGCTTTTTAAAAACCAAATCTTGTTTTTTCTCAGTAAAACACATTTTGTCTTCAATTATTTTCATATTGCATTATTTTGCATTATTGCATTATTATTCATATTCCTATTTTAATTTTTGTTTTGAAAGTATGGTAAAAACTGGTCAAATGTACCAACAATCACATTTAAAAAATATACACTTTTTGATATACCATAAAAAAAAAAAAAAAAACAGGTAGCCCATCTGAATTAGGACATTTAGGCTATCCATCTAATAGTAGCCTACCAAAATCTTATTAACAGTAGAAGTTAAATCTTACTGTAGTCTTCAAATCTGGGTATTGTCTTACGTTTTAAAATCACAAAGGGAGTTTGGTCCCATCAGGCTAACGTGACAGTCACGACTCATGCAGCTGTAAGGTTTTCTTTCTCTTTTGTTTTTACTCGCGATCTTTACAACACGCATTACATTACGTATTTCATGGCACACTCGTTTTATGCGTATTTGGCGCCACCTAGTGTTGTGGGTGTATTATTGACATGTCAAAGTCTAGACCCTGAATATAAGACGACCGCGTTTTTTCAGATGTATTTCCAAGAAAAAAACATCGTCTTATATTCGGGTCAATACGGTAATTCGAAAACATCACTTTAGAACGAGTAACGAAGGAACGTTGAGTTGCTTAATTAAAAGTTATTGTATTACTGCATTGAAAGCTCACTGTATTATGTAGAGTCAAGCATTATGAGAGAGAGATGGACTGAGCGAGTGTGATTACCTGCATCTGATACAGCATTCATTCTTCAGCTCAATCACATATTTACAATAAAACATTATTTTGAATATCCGCTGAGGAAAGCGATATCTTTGTCGTACTATCCCTTCATCTGTTAAGGATGATTTCCGATGACAGTGCTGCTCAGTGCATTTGTTGGCTGTAAAAATAACTTCCTTGTTTACAACCCCGTTTCAGTCTTTTTCAATATAAAAGCTAGGCAATTCAGTCAAAAGTACAAAGGTGGCACTCTGATATACAGCACTAAATTTATATAAAATATAACGTGATGAGGTTTTGCCCTCAACCAAAACTATTTGCTCTGGGACATATAACAGATTAATAAGACAAAATATATTCTGTTAGATTTAGCCAAAATGAATTATATCTCATGTTTAACTACTGTAGAGACATCATGAGTCAGCGGCAAATTCCAGAAGATCTGGCGAGGTGAGGCTGCTCTCGGCGGGTTCATGAGCGCTGAATGGCCATTTTGAAGTCTAAACAACTAAATTCTTGACTAACAACTCCTAAAACTACATTCTGTGACACAAAAACAGTATTATTTATAAAATTATAGTGGACTAGGGTGTCTGCCAAGACACTCGCTGTGAGAAATACTACAAGTGGAGTGATACAAACAGTGAAACGGTTGTTGTTATCAGTAGAATATCACACTGCTGGGAAAGGACGAGAAAGAACTGTTGTATAAATAAATAAATATGCACAAATGTAATGTCATAAGGCCTCATTTACACTGCAGGTCTTGATGCCCAATTCTGATTTGTTGCCTATATTCGATTTTTTTTGACTATATGATTTGTAGAAATCTGACAAAAAATGACTGAGCTACACCCGTTTGAAGTCGATAGAGTCAGCAAAGTTGATTATGAGAAAGAAGCAAAAGTTTCCTCCAGTTCTTTTCTTATTAAGAATTACTATATTAATAATCACAATATAGCTATTTTTTATTTTATCTTTGCTATTATAAATAAGAACAGATGCAAAAAAAAAACAGTAGAAAGAAACAAATAATGCATTACCTTTATCATTTTACATCTAAACAAACGCAAAACAAGTAATCAAATGTAAAAATAATTTCAGTGTGTTGTTCATTACAAATAAATTGATTATTAAAACTACAAAAGCAGTTCAATGAAGAGCAGCGAGTGATTCCCTCTTTCCTTTTATTGTTAGATAGGTACTCCGCTCAGAAAACGTACAAATAAAGATCATTTTAGTTTAATTACTATTTGGAGCATTGGGATCGCTAGACGAGGGCTTAATTAACCTTTTTTTTTTTGGCCTGTAGCTCAAAATAGCCCGTGCGCATATTTTGCCAGCACGGGTCACATGTGACGTTATTAAACCGCAGAGAAAATTTTGTAGCTAGATTTAGCGACTTCCCCACCCCTTTTGAGACTTTTTTCAAAAGTTTAGGGACAAATATAGCAACTTCTTGGACAAACCTTATCTAAGTTCTCATCTTGCCCACTTATCTATATTCATCTTTATATAGATCAGTAAATTTGCCATTATGGATGTCATCTAGTGACATTTAGCTACCAGTTTTAGGTACTTTCAGTTGAAAGCAATTGGCAACACTGTACCAAATTGTCGCAGTTTTAATGACGTACACAACGCAATGCCTTAGAAAGTCTGATCTGCCTGTTTACAAGACAGTCGCATTGGCACATATCTGTTTTATATCTGATTTATTTCCACATATTCACGAGGCCTGAAACCGATCTCGAAATATCCGAATGCATGCGTTTTTTTCCCTGTTTACACGGTCATAGAAAATATCCGATCTGTCACATATGAGCAAATAATCGGAATTGGGTCACATTTAACTGACAGTGTAAACGGGGCCTTAGAGCTGAATCAGTATTTGGGTTCCATGCCGGATAAACATTTGTTTATTCTTTAATTTGTGTATCTTTAGAATGTTATTCTGCAGTCTAATGACCTCTCTTCATATCTGATCTGTATTTGGGGTAATGATTGGATTTTTGTTATGACCCCAGGCAAGATGGGGAAATATTATGTACGAGGTACATACCGAGGTACATTTTGAGGTAATCATTCCTCATAGATACCCACCCTGTTAGGAGCTACTGTATAAATGCTGTTAAGTGTGAGGATTAACCTGCTGTAGTCCACAGATGCGCGTGGTTCTGGCAAACCATTCCTGCAACCGCTGTGCATACGAGGCGCACCAGATCTACGCTGCACCGTGCTTTCTCGTCCAATTCTGATTTGTTGCCTATATTCGATTTTTTTGACTGTCTGTTATCACGTTCTTTCAATTGTGACCCATAACCGATTCATGTATTTACACTTGCCATACCATTTGAAACATCGCGCATGCATTGTTGTCATTTACCGCCTCCATACGTGCTTCCTTCTGAGAATAATAATTTTTAGAGAATTATTTTCACATTCTCCATTAAAAGACTTTCTATATATATATTTTCTTATTAAGAATTACTATATTAATAATCACAATATAGCTATTTTTTATTTTATCTTTGCTATTATAAATAAGAACAGATGCAAAAAAAAAACAGTAGAAAGAAACAAATAATGCATTACCTTTATCATTTTACATCTAAACAAACGCAAAACAAGTAATCAAATGTAAAAATAATTTCAGTGTGTTGTTCATTACAAATAAATTGATTATTAAAACTACAAAAGCAGTTCAATGAAGAGCAGCGAGTGATTCCCTCTTTCCTTTTATTGTTAGATAGGTACTCCGCTCAGAAAACGTACAAATAAAGATAATTTTAGTTTAATTACTATTTGGAGCATTGGGATCGCTAGACGAGGGCTTAATTAACCTTTTTTTTTTTTGGCCTGTAGCTCAAAATAGCCCGTGCGCATATTTTGCCAGCACGGGTCACATGTGACGTTATTAAACCGCGGAGAAAATTTTGTAGCTAGATTTAGCGACTTCCCCACCCCTTTTGAGACTTTTTTCAAAAGTTTAGGGACAAATATAGCAACTTCTTGGACAAACCTTATCTAAGTTCTCATCTTGCCCACTTATTTATATTCATCTTTATATAGATCAGTAAATTTGCCATTATGGATGTCATCTAGTGACATTTAGCTACCAGTTTTAGGTACTTTCAGTTGAAAGCAATTGGCAACACTGTACCAAATTGTCGCAGTTTTAATGACGTACACAACGCAATGCCTTAGAAAGTCTGATCTGCCTGTTTACAAGACAGTCGCATTGGCACATATCTGTTTTATATCTGATTTATTTCCACATATTCACGAGGCCTGAAACCGATCTCGAAATATCCGAA